CCTAATAAATTAGTTTTAGTTATTAAAATAAAAATAAGTGCTTGTTTCTTAAAATAAAATTTCACTTCATTTTCTTACCTCAAACTAAAAGATTCTTGTTTTTTTAAATCAATTTAAATTTGCTTCCTAAACCTAAACAAGTGGTTTTCCTGCATAGATCACAATAGATTGGTTTCTATACATAAACATAAAGTTTTGGTACTAAATTATATTACATTGGTAAAGGTACTTTGGATACTAACCCTAAACATTTTGTTTAAATTATTTATTTTAGTTTACAGTCCTGCTAAACAAACTGTGTTCAGGTATTTGTGACTTTAAAATCTTTGCTTTTAGAAAAACTAAACTACAACAGAACATACGCAGACAAATACACAATAAAAAACATTAATTACTTTAAAAGTTTACCTCATCTAGTTTGAGTTTACAAGTTGAACATATATTTGGACTGATTTCCTTTGTGAGGAGCCTAAAAGTTATCAGAGATTCAGAACTTTGTTTTGCACTAAATCCTAATTTCCTAAAGTTGTTAGCAGCTACGACTTCAATCAAATCAAATTTATTCAGCTCATTTAAAAAAGAGCTGCACTCAAAATAGCAAATACTAAAAAACAAAACTAAACACACAAGAGACCACAGAACAGAAAGCAAATTACTCAATTTAAAACTTTATATTTTGCCAATCAGCCCCAAAGCACCGGCTCTTAAAAAACAAAACAAATGGGTCTGTTTAACAAACATATGAATCATATCTCAGCCAACTCAAAGCTCCAAGGATTTCTGAGCATTAGGCTCTTCTGTAACATCATAATTGACAGGCAAGAATACACTTTAAAAGCCTAATTTTTTTAAATAATGAATTATAATTTGATGTTTTTTCCCTGAAGGCTTCTGTCATAATGTTTGGCACGAATCTAATGAAGAGAGATTTGTCTCACTGTGCATTTTGATCTTTTTTTTTTTATTTACTTGCATCAATATGAAAAACAAACAAAAACATCCAGCAAATGGGGAGTGGATTTAAAGACACACAGAAAGCAACACAGCTAATGTTTCAGTTTAAGTCGAAGGCGGAGCCGCGAGAAGTTACAGCCCAGACCACCGGTGCCACTCGATGCTGCTGGTGTGTTTCCTCGCTGACACCCGGACAAGTGTCTGACAGAAAACAACGACTCCTCCTCCAGAAGAATAACAAGAAGGTGAAGCTGTGGAGGAGAGGACTACCGTGATCTGTCAGGGACTCCTCCTGGTCAAAGCAGCGCCTGAAAACTGGCACCAGCCTGGCAGAAAATGTCACTTTTTTGGGAGAGGAATTTGCAGAATGTAGTTTGAGGAGCTGCTCTGTTGGTGTTTTAATACCAGTGGTGGGCACAGCTAAACAAGTACTTAGCTTCATTAACCACTAGCTCGCTAAACACAAAATTGAGCTCCAATAAACTGACAGATAAAAAAAATTATTGGAAACTAATGCTAACCGCTAAGATGGTTAGTGCAATTGATGCACACCTGTTGGTTTTCTATTGGTTTAATTTGAAGGTGGGCGGGATCATCTGTGGCAAATCAGCCAATCCAAATCAAGGAGGGTCTAGCTGCAGCCACAGCCAGTACAAGACATGCCACCCCCAACACTAACGCTAACTAACCCCTGGAAGTGTTTTGTAGTCTGGGGGTGTGTTCTGTAGTCTGGGGGCATGTTTTGTACGGTCCGAACCAGTTATAGCTCCGTCTAACTTGCGATACTTCCAGTTTACCCCTTTCAGAATTAAAGTGATCGAGTTTGTATTTTTATGAACATTGTTTGAGTACTTTCTCTACCGTATTTTATAAGTAGTCGATTTTTGCATTTGTTATTTAAATCTTGTTAAATGTTATTTTATTTCTTTTTGATGGTCTTAGTTTGAAGCTTAGTGGCTAAAAATGCTACATGCTACACACAGGGTGCCGGACACATAGTTATTTTTTTATTTGGGATAAATAAAGAAGTTTTATACGTGTGAAATTTTGGACTTAAAATTAGCGGAACTTAATTTACAAGAAGCTAATTGGTCCGCTAATGGTTTCTAATAATCTGCTAAATGAGAAGCTAGTTCTGCTATTAGCGAATTAGCAGAACTGTGCCCACCACTTCTAAACACATAAGATTGATGACAATAATGCTTTAAATTTTTTTTTGAACAGCTTGTCCTCACCCTCGTTCACAAACAGGAATAACATTTCATGAAAGTTGTTTTAAAGCAGGGCGTCTCCCTTTAGTGCGTTCATTCATTCTGATCAGTGGGGTCGCCCTGAAGGGGGGTCATTTCACTGCTTTCTTAGCCCGATCTGTAAACTCCACGAGAGACGGCAGCCGTCACAGAGGGCTGGGCATTCAAACGGCTCCGAAACTCAACTACAAAGTTCTGAATAATTAAAAACTTCCTCAAACTCATTACATTTTGTACATAAAATGCAGGCTATCTCAAGCGTTCAGGTGGATGAGGTTTGCTAAAAGCTCCCAGCATGCTCATTCGAACATCTCAGCACAAGCAGCAAGCACAAGCACAGGGATTTACCTGGTGTGAAGAGCTGTAAGGGAAAGAAAATGAACCCCAAAAACCACCCCTGCACCATCATATCGCAGCTCCACATGCATGCAACAAATACAGATGTCCAAAAGCTGCCCTGAAACAAACCCCGCCCCCAACACCGAGCAGTAAGTGGAGATAGAAAGGCGGCACACCAGGGAAGGTGGAATACCATAACAACACGTAGAACATATTGTTACACTATTCCACCCACCTTAACTGTGAACCCTTGGGGGTGGCTACGCCGTAGCCTTTGGAGTCCAAGTTGCCTCCGACTTTCATTGTGTCGCAGGGTTTGCGCTGCTCTGTGTACTCGTTCATGGTGGACTCCAGCAGGAAGGCGTATTTCCCTTTGGACTTGCGGACCCGCGCCACCCCTTCTACCGTGGTCTTGGTGAAGACCGTGGGCTCGGCGGACTTCATGTACCCCCACATCTTCTCGTAGACGGCGATCTTGGACCGCTGTTGGGGTTTGATGGGGGTTGGAGRTTCAGAAGGTAGATGATGTGAGAGAGACGGAGAAAACATTTCCGCATACAAGACTTTTCAAAATAAAATGCAAGAACTGTCTACTTCCTGTTGACTTTCTGAAARTCTTACTTACCGTGCGTTGAGAGAATAATTCATGTTGGCAGTAAAGTATGAGATGCCAAGAGTAAAAATGTTAATAAATGTCATTATCATATTTTCAATATTTAGCTCACTTTGAGCGTAAAATCCGAGTAGAATTTTTTCCATTAACATTTTATTGTTATTTAGCTTATAGTTCTTATATTTAGCTCATTTTTACTAAATTTTAAATGTTATGTCTAAATGTTAAATCCTAAATCTAAATGTGTAAATTAAATCTAAAATGTTGTGGATAAATGTTAAAATTTACATTTAGGTATTTCAGAATGGAACGCAGCCTTTGTCTTTGGTGGGCGACTTTTATTGTGACGTAATCATCCTGCGACAAAAGCAACTGCTGTTAACTTTGCTAATGCTGCTAATTCTGCTAATGTTGCTTACATTGCTAATGCTGCTAACTCTGCTAATGTTGCTTACAATGCTAACGCTGCTAATGGTGCGTTCACACCAAACGCGATTTCAGCGTCAGGAGCCTCAGGTTTACATGCAAAGTCTATGGTGGACGCGCTTCAAGCAACATCGGGAAGTGCTGCGGCGCCTCAAGCGCGATTAGAGCAGCGCGATTTGAACGATTTGAACGATTTGAGCGTTCGACGTGCTGAGGCGCAAATTGCTGAAGTTAGAAAATCTGAACTTTTGCAGCTCGACGCGCCGCGTCAACCAATCAGAGAGACTCCACTGTGTGACGTAGTGACATATTTCCCGATGGGACAGTTTACTGAATGATGTCCACTAACCTGAAACAGATGGAGAGGAGCTCTTTAGCTGAAATCCAGTGCCTGCCTGTGTCCTGATCCGCTCCAATGCGTGGCAGCGACTCATCAGACTGGAAAAATAGTCCTGAAAGCGAGCTGTGAGCCTCTACTCTGAATTATCTGGTGAATTAATTATGAATTAATATCTGATGAACGTGACATGCTCTTGCTCTCTGTAAATAAAGTAAAGCCACTTCCTCRTCCGACATTAAACAGAGCCCGACAGAGGAGGGAGGGGCGGGGCGGCAGTCGCCGTGCAGCGCTTCAAGAGCTGACCTGCGTCTGACCTCAAAGTGCACAAGCTTCAAACTTCAGCGTTGGCTGCAATTTTGAAGCTGAAATCGCGTTCGGTGTGAACGCAGCATAACTCTTAATGCTGATAACTCTGCTAACTCTGATAATGCTGCTAACTCTGCTAATGCTGCTAACTCTGCTAACACTGCTAATGCTAACTCTGCTAACGTTTCCCTACAAGACATCAAACTTGCAGTTGCAGCTGGTGTCAGAGGTGCACTTTAAACTACCGAACCATTGGTATCATCATAYTGTTTTCAATTAACAGATTTTGAATTTAAGTTTTAAATGACTTCAGCAGCAGCGTTACACATCCAACAGACTTCTTGATTGTTTTCTGTTTAATGTCTGCCCATAAATAWATGWCTTTATGAACATACCCGCAAGACCATTTGTCTTTTTAACACCCTTTCGCCGTGTTTCTGCCAATCTTGCCGCGACACTAACCTTTATTCCAGTTCAACAATCTTAAAGAACCTCTTCAAAACACCAATAACTCAGTTTGACAAACAWACTACTTTAGTGCTGACAATGTAATACCCATAGAGCTGTTAGCTAAAACTGTTAAATTCAGTAGATTTATCAGCTAAAGATTGGCACATCTCTAAGGTCGAATTTCCTCATTACTCAACTGCAAACATTTTCACTGTTCAAACAGTTGTTCAGATTTGAATCCATAAAMTAAAAAATGCTTAAAGTTGTGACTTTTGCTGGTCAAGTTATCCAATCATTAATTAATTAAGAGCCTCATAAACCATTATGTTAGTTTTTATCTATTTACTATGAYTGTTTCTGTCTTTAAAACTATTGGATTTAATATATATATACAGTATATATGGTATTATTTGCTGCTTCCAATATATTTCTCTGCTTGTTTCACAAAACTGGATGCAAATAAAGACAACTTTTAGGTCACAGGGTTACTTTGTTGTCCTGCTAAAAAACATCTTAAATGTCTTTGAATGGCACAAACTGTTGAAACAGAGAATAAATCAAAGCACTGTTTTCTTTTCTAACAATTATAGTAAAGACGGTTGTAGGACAGTTATTAATTTCACATCTCTAACCGCTCACTGGGACCCTAACTTTGTGCACCGCTRCTTTAAAGGTTGTTAAAACCACACATTGAGCTGTTTATACATGAACATAAAGACTACACGAGGTCCCTACCTTCTCTTGGAGTGGACRTTCAACTCCAAGCAACCCCCACACTCACCCTGAAGAACTCTTTGGTGGAACCGGAGTCCAGAGTCCCGTAGGCGATGTCGGTCTGCTTGGCCAGGTCCTCGGCGCTCTCGATGGGTGAAACCATCCGCTCCACGGTGAGGAAGGCAGCCAGGTTGGCCGTGTAGGACGAGATGATGATGAGAGTGAAGAACCACCACACCCCTCCTACGATTCGACCCGATAGCGATCTTACAGAGGAGAGAGGAAGGAGGAATAAAAAAAAGAAAGAAAGAAATATGCAGGGATGGTTTGGAGGGTAAAACGGAAAAATTGGAAGGATTTTGAAGGTAAAATTAGGGTTAAGAAGAGAGAAAAGAGTAGGTTATTACAGTGAAGACCACAAGGTGGAGCTCTGATAACATTTATAGCTGCCACAGCTGTTTTCAGCCTCATTAGAACAAACTGTCTCATAAAAAACCCTAAATGCTGATATTGACCAAGTTTGGTACAGAAAAGGTGTAAGCTGCCTCCTAACTCCTTTCTTTTTGTTTACCGATGGGATAAAAAGTGCTGCAGGTCCCTGTGGCCAGCAGATCAGCTCTTTCTTGTTTTTATTTTATTTTTTATATATATATTTTCCTCCAACCCCTCGCTCGGGGGAGACGGATAGCTCGCTGCTCAGGAGCAGCGGAAGGTCGTGAGGAGAATCTTAAACCATAAATGCTGCATCGAGGAGAACAAACAAGATTTCCCCTTGGTGCGAATCAAACGGCGGAGGATGCAAACCCCCCCCAGGCCTCCGTGTCGGATGGAGGGAGTCGAGCATCCGGCTGCTGTTTTACAATCTTACTGCAGTCTTGTCAAATTCTATTAATCGCAAAACACGCAAGCAGTTGACTAAAAAGACAAAAACTCATTTCTAATCCTCCCCACAAAAACTCTGATTATCAATGAACAGAAGGACCTTTTAACAAATCACTATCAGAGAGGAAACTTTGTWTTTTTTTCTCGGCCCGTCCAGACGCCTGCAGCAGCCGAGGCGGCGCCCAATAAAGCGGCGCCGCAGCGGAGCACGTCTCCTCCACGCTCACAGGGAACCCGTGAAATAGACTTATTGATGCATCGACTCTGGATTTGAATACAGATGACTTCCTGCTCGTYGCCTCGGCTTTGTTTCCTCCTTCGCCCTGAGAGCGCCGACATTCAAACTGAGGAACATCAACAGAAGAGGCGAAGGGTTTGTCTGAGGCGACRCAGGAATTATCCTGATCCCAGAATCTAATTCAGAGGAGCTTTAATGATTACAGTCAAAGACGGTGAAAAAAACATACAAGAAAACAAATATTTACATGAAACCTGGTTTAAGGTTTGGTCTTCTGTTTATTTTTAGATCTTTATTCAATCGTTTTTGCTTCAGGACCTGCTGATGATCAAAAACGTCCAATAGATGAGAGTTTGTTTCCACTGCGATGGTAAACGCATCATTTTAAGACTGAAAAATCACTCAAACTTTGTCTTAAACTTGAAAAATCTTGATTTAAACAACTGTGAGCGTCACAAACAGCAGTGCAACACTTGAAGGAGTTAAAACCGTATATTTTAATTATTTTATTTTCTGTTACATTTTGAGTTTTCCTCTTATCTAGAAGCTTCTATTTCAGAAATTTAGATTACTGTACTTGTTTTTGGCTGTAGATTTAAATTTAGTAAAGAAAATAAAAAAAATAAAAATAGCCTGTTTCTGTGCTTATCTAAACGGTCATTTAGAAAAAAAAACATTTGAGCTTTTTAAAAGCTAATGTATTTCTCACAAAGATTCTGATAGAACATTTTGTAGTTTTCTGTGTGCACAGCATTGTGGGTATGGGTCAGAGGTTTTTCTGTAAAAACAAACCAGCATTGCTACTAACTTTGACAGAAGCAAGTGCATTTTTCTGTTCATCTGATGATTTTTGTGAATTCTGGCAGAGAAAACACTGGATGAGGTGAAATGTTAGCGTAGAGGACGTTTCACCAACAAAGAGTCAATAAGAAAATGTGCACCTTTAAATTTTTATTTGTTTTAACATAATTGTTTTAATTTAATGCATTTAACAAAAAATATAATTAGATTTTATTGTGAAACTTATTCTTATCTGCTCCTAGATAAGATAAGATAAGATAAGATAAGATAAGATAAGATAAGATAAGATAAGATAAGATAAGATAAGATAAGATAAGAT